GATCTGAGGGCGGATTTTACATTTTTAACCATATCTACGAAGGGATTGATGGAATTTCTTGAAATTTGACATTTGATTTCTGGTTGTTACCGAAACTAACTGGTGAGAATTTCGCCAAACTAAAAATTAGAAAGGAGTATTAAACAGGCATTTTTATAGTATTCTGTAACACTTTCATGACAATACATATTGCGGTCGGTTATGTGCTGATCACATCAGATTTTTTTTAAATCATTTAATATGATTTGGTTGGTATAATCTGTAATATAATTAACTAATATATAATTAACTTTATTTTTTTTACTTTAAATAACTTATGTAATCTTTAGGACAATCTTTTACTATACAATTTTAGTTTATACAATTTTTTTTTTAATAATACATAAAGGGTGTTTCATATAAGGTGACAAATAATTTCAAAAATAATTCTTTGATCTCTAGCAAAAAATTTTATGGGTGAGGGTTGGTGCAGATACATTCGTTTTCGAGCTACATCCTGTTGAAGAAAAGGTATAAAATTTTTTCTGTTTATAAGAAAATGTTTATAATTTCGAAACTGACATAGAGTAAAGGAGGTGACATAGAGTAAAGGAGGATAAAGATGGCTGTGTAAACAATGCATATCAAATACTAATAAAAACGAACGACATACTAAGTAATGGCAACTGAGTCGGTCACTTTTATTTGTATTGAATTTTATTTATTTTCAGTCTCGTTCGTTTTTATTTGTATTCCATTCGGGTAATATCGAACTAATTCGATGCAATTCTAATAATATCGAACGAGATGTGAAATAAATGATAAACTATACATAAAAAACTGACCAAACTAGAAATCTTCCTACATGAGACAATTGAAATATTGAACTAGTTTATTTAATTTGAAATCTAATTACATGAAATAGAAAAAAGGATGGATTTAACTGGACTATAATATGTCTTATGATTATGCATAAAATATTTAAAAAAAGATATTAATTCGAGTCGTTTTTTACCTAAATATTTTAAATAAATGAAAAAACTAATCATTATAAGTTTACATTCTAACCCGTAACTAAAATAAAAAGTTTGAAAAAAATTGGTACAATATTTCGTTTGTTTTTTTTTTTTAATTATTATTATAGAATAATTGTTTATTCTATAATGATAATTAAAATATAAGAAATTTAAATTCAAATGGTTTAAAATTTATATTTGTTGATATTTAAGAAATTATCTATAATTTAACTGTTTTAAATAACAGTTTTTTAAGTAAGTTTTCAAATAAAAGTTTAAAACTTTTTTCTAGTTAAAATGATGTTAAACTTTTTGGTTTAAATAAGTAATATTTTGTGGTTTTTTTTTATTGTGCCTGAAATTTTTTTATACTAACGTAGTTCAGTGTAGAAAAATTTGAAAAGAAAAAGGGTTTTGTACAAAGAACACGTGACCATTTTAACTTGGCAATCCTATCAGCCTAATAGCATACTATTAATAACTTTAGGATAAGTTATAAAGTTTGATTAAATATAGTTATTTAATTATGTTATTAATATTTAGAATAAGTTAAAGTTTATAAAGTTTCATTAAATCAAAACCCATTATAGATATATTATTATGTATATTCTTTTCTTTTAAATTTATCACAAATACGCACGCATAGCTATATAATAATAATCAAAAAACATATGATAATATATACAGAAGAGAAGTGAACGAAATGAACGATTGAACGAGATTTTACAATCGATCAGTGAAAAAAGGTAGTTCGTTCAGAACGGTATTTCTACTTCATAGTGTTAAAAAGCATTTTTAGAATATTATTCAATTCGAATGTTCTCTCAAATATTTCTTGTCACTGGAATACTAAACAAATGAAGAGAGACAAGAAAAATGACGGATGTACATAAAAGCATACCTTAATGCCATATACAGGGTGATTCAGAAATATATACAAAAACATATACCATTAATTAGAGGGTCGAAAATGGGTAAAACTTTTGCTCCAGAGTAGGTGCGAAATCTCAAGGGTTTTCGAGATACAGGGATTTTAACGAATTTTCACGAAATTTCTAGTTATCTAAGCCTTTTTGATTATAACTTCCAATCCGAAAAAGATAGGGACTTCAAACAAACAGTTTCTGAAAGATTTAATAAAGGACTTAAAATAAACCTCTTACTTGATTATGTATTTTGTGTAGTTTCGGAATACCAATCATTCGAACTTAAGCTAAAGTAAATTTTTTCCCTTTTTTTATTTTTTCAAATTTTTTTAAGCACGTACTTTCTTTTGAAATTTTTTGAAACTTTGAAATTTTTTTTACAGAATTTTGGCCACTTTCTCAAACCTTAATTTTAGTCACTAAGTGTTGAGAAATCTTTTATGGTACAGAAGATATAGTACGAAAACCATTTCTACGTCAAGATTTTAAGGGCCCTAATAAAATCTAAAAAACCAAAAAATTGTCATTATTTTTGGTGTTTATTAATTTTTAAAGCCATATTTATGATTTACTATCAATTTATTAAAGCACTATCATTCTAAAAACCGTTAACACTTTTAAGAACCGCTATTTTGATAAAAAAATCTTAATTTTAATATTTTTATTGAAATACATATTGTATTGTAAATTTATATTGCGACTGTATCTATAAGTGCCTGAAAACAAATATTGTTAATTTTTATATTTTTAAAATTCTCACCCATATTAATTATGCTGATATTATATTTAGCGCAATTTGCGGCGATGTGACCATTCCCTTGGCATTTAAAACATTTGGTTTCCGCTGCACAATTTTTCCTTACATGTTCTTTAGAACCACAGTTGAAACACCGCATAAAACTTGAAGAATCGCTGTTAAAATTTTTACCAATAGATTTTCTGCTTTCAAAAACTCTAGTTCTAAATCTGTCATATTCCTGATACTTTTCCTTTAATTCTTGTATATTTCTTGCTCCATATAGAATTTGCTTATGCTTTTCTTTACCATCAACTCCAGCTATTATATATTGCATCAGGGATTTTTCATTAATATTTCCTTTTTGTGCCATCTCTTGCATGCTATAAACGTATTACTGAAACCACTGATCTTTTTACATTTTTGCCTTCGTAAATAATTGTGTACATCTGCTTGGCACCAAGATAATTCAAATTCTTGTTTCATTACAACTTTGAATTCGTTAAATTTTTTACAGCTTATTGTTTTTATAAAACTTTTCGCAGATCCTTTTAATTTTTTTCCAGTTAACACAACTTTCTCGATATCATTCAAATTCAGTGATTCAACAATAGCTTCAAACTCTTCGAGCCACGTATTAATGCACACACCATCGTCTCCAGAAAAATCGTCCAATAAAAATTTAATATCTTTGATGGGTACGTTGTTTTCATCGGTCATTGTGATGTCCGCTTGATCTAAATCGTCCTTATTATCTTCCTCTTGAATAGTGAGGGGTATCTTCAGGGCTTGCGGTAGTCTAGCTTTTAAATCTTCTTCTCTTCCTGTAGTATCAAGATTCAGTTTGCGAAACTCTGATTTTAAACAGTCCACCTTCAGCTCCAATAATTTTGAAGAATTCATTAATTAATAACAATTGTTGCTTAGATGGAATTTTTTCCTTGTTTTTGTTGTTGTTTGGTTGAGCCCCCAGATGTAGGAAATAAAATCCGAAATTAAATTAATATTGGGCTTATTCACTTTATTTATCCAAATTAATATTGAGTTCAATTATAATTATCGTAATTTACAAAATTTCTTTAATTAATCAATGCGATACAACATAAATATTATGTTGTATCGCATTGATTAATTTTTAGGTTAGGTTTTTACTATAGTACACAATAGCTCGATTTAAATTAATATTAAACAACTCAGCGGCTCGATTAAATACACACTGAATGTGCTTTACAAAAAGATCATAAAATTCAAAGTAAAAGAGATCATATGATTTATAAAATTACAGTAAATTACTTAGGTTACGGCAAAATGTGAATATCAAGTTACTGGCAATGTGTATATTAAGTTAACGACGAAATGTGTATTTCATAACTACAATAATGATGTTCAGTTAACATAATCCTACATACATATATATGTTAACAATTTATATTTATTTTTAAAATTATAAGTTAACTAGTGTACACATTTTTTAGCTTAATAAAGACTTTTTTACGAGCTTACGGAATTATATTGAAAACAAATTTCAATGAACTTAAATCTTATTGTCATATCGAAAATGACAACTACGAGTTTTCAGTATTATGAAATTTTAATATTAGACGTTCCTTTCGCGGTAACGTTTTTCAAACAAACTGTGACTTCAATAATGCTGTATAAAAAGTTTATCTCAGAGAGCTTTCAATAACTTTATATTGTAAAAAAAAAACTGTTAAAACTTTTGATACATTTTCGAATACAGTTTTTACAATATTAATGTATACTTTAGCCTTTTTTTGAAAATTTCTATTTAAAGCTCTGTTCAAATTTTAATTTTCAACAAACGATACCTTTTAGAGCTGTATTTTAGAAGAAAACCTTAATAACTAGTACTTTATTGCTAGAAATATATGTTAGTTTATTTAATTGGTTATTTTTGGCAACATTTATATGACATGTATAAGAAAAGCGTGCTCGAGTTTTTCGATACCCAATTTACTTTTATTTTACGTATCCACTACGTATAGAACGCATTTAGGAAAAGTATACAATGTCAAGAGCTTTTACTAAGCTTTTTGTAATACGATATTTTGTAAAGTTTACGTCGTAAGCGCATTATTAAAGTCACGGAAAGTTTTGAATTTAATTTTTTTTTGTTGTACGAGTGGGTTTTGTAGCAACAATACAAATAACATTTTCATAAACGAATGCAAATAATGACATTTTCAAGTATAAATGCAAAAAAGTAGTAAAAATGGCTTTGCAGTAGTATGGTAGTATAGAATGCCAAAATATAGTAAAAATCTACAATATTAATAGCACCTTATACATATGTCATTAGCATTTGCTATCAAGTTATGACTTATGAATTATGATAATGCAGTCGTATGAATATAGAGAATCGAAAACTGTTATAATTTTTTTTATGGTTCAATTGTATCTTTCACATTTCATCGTCCCAATAAATACGATTACCCAATAAAGTATAAACGGAAGTTTCATTACGAGTTAGTTGGCAAGATTAACATCTGCTTTCAACATTTTACGTACATAAAAGATATATTACAGTAGTTTGTTATATGCTCCATTAAAATACGTTATCTAAATTACTTACCATTGAATTAATTAATTTAATATTCATTAATTCTTTCAGTTTTTCACAGATTTTTTTTCACGAACGTAATTTTATTTATCAACCACACATATAAATTAAATTTTTACTTTTAGTCATTTAAAAAACAAAATATTTCGAAAACATCCGACCTAGTAAAAGATTAACAATGTTAAAGTTGTATGATTTTTAAAATATTTACAAAAGACTCAAAAGTAAATGGAGACATTTTATAATATTTTAATTTCAGGGGTCATTGGACGGCGAACATGACGGCCGTGTTGATTTACATGAAAATAAAAGTCCAGATGACGGAACGAATGGCTCAAAAAGAAGAGGTCCTAGAACCACAATCAAAGCTAAACAATTAGAAGTGTTAAAAACTGCTTTTAGTCAAACACCCAAACCTACAAGACATATTAGAGAACAATTAGCAAAAGAAACTGGATTGCCTATGCGAGTAATTCAGGTAATACTTAAATAATATCCCAAGCAAACATTCAAATATTATATGCATTATTACGTAAAAAGATAAGTAAAAAGATTTCGTATGCCAAATGTTTTACGTTAAATCTTTTCCGTTATCTTTGGTATTCTAATTTTTTACACTCGCTTTTAAAATTTTAAATTCAAATTCTTAATACATAACGTTTCCAGACAAGGGTAATAACGTTTTCTTTCACGTATGCAATAGTTTTAATTGTACGTTACTTAAAGTTTGAAGTTACAAGTTGAATTAGTTAAATAAAGAAAACAATGTTCATTTAATGTGGAAGTACAATTCTCCATAGTTTTAATAGCTTTTACATTATTTTAAAAACTAAGTAACAAAAAGTAGTCATTTTTAAATATTTGGTTTACAATAATAAAGTGACGTATACAAAAAAACATTATATAATGCAATAAATATCTATCAGGCCATCAAGCTCAGGGAGCAATTCAAAAATAATTCCAAATATATGAAGTTTAAATGGAAAGTGTATTGGAATTTATTTGTGTGGTGGAAATTCATCAATATTTTTGGCTCTACTGTTTCTACATATTTTTTTAAATTTAAAATTTAAATTTCAAAAAAATCGGTTGGTAAATTCCATCTGAAAAATACATTTGAAAAAAATTACAATTTTTAGCGTAGACAACCTTTCTTGTCTTCCAAATGGAAGGGCACTGAATTACAGAGCAAAATTTTTGAATAAGAAATAGAATTTAAAAAGAAATTAAAGAAAAATATAATCTAGATGGCTTTTAAAATTATACTAAATAAAATGAGAATTATACAGAATACTCAAAAATTTCACAAAAAAAAAAATAAAAAAAATATTTCAATCGACATACTTCGAAAACGTAAAACATTGGAAATTGTTTTTCTGATTCAAAATTTAGGAAAATAATTTCAGCATGGATTCCTGATAGATACATATGGCATTAATTTTATTCTAATAAAAAAAAATAATTTACAATATTTAAAAACGAAAACTACAGAAAACTGACTTCAAATCTAGTAAAACCAGATTTTAAGTAACGATTCAGAACCATTATATGCCCGTACGAACGTATGTTCGAAGGGTATACTAAATTTACTTTACCGTTTTTAACGCTAAGAAATAACGGTGTTAGATATAGACTCAAGTGTATGTTTTTGATCAGCGTCAATTTCTGAGTTAATTTAGCTTTGTCTGTCCGTCCGTCCGTCCGAACGATAACTCAAAAACTAATTGAGCTAAGTTCACCAAATTTTCACAAATGATTTATTGTAGTAAGTGCCAGAACCCTATTTAAATTGGACATGATCGGGGTACCGGTTCGGGTAGCTGCCATACAACTTCAAAATTTATTTGGCTATATCTCAGAAACTATAAAAGTTGTGGTATTGAAATTTCACACAAACGAATATATTATAGAATATATACGAATATATAGTAGGGCCAACGTGTCTCATAAAAATCGTTGAAATTACTCGGCTCCTTCTGGTACCTGCCATACAACTTCAAAAGTTATTTGACTATATTTCAGAAACTATTAAAGCTATGGTATTGAAATTTCACACAAACGAATATATTAGTAGGGCCAATGTGTCTCATAAAAGTCGTTGAAATTACTTGGCTCCTTCTGGTACCTGCCATACAACTTCAAAAGTTATTTGGCTATATCTCAGAAACTATAAAAGCTGTGAGATTTCACACAAGTGAATATATTAGTAGGGCCGATGTTAACTTGAGAGGGGGTGGAGATGGAAAAAAATTTTCTTCTAACGAAATGAACTATTTGTTATTGTCTAAAAGCTCCCAAAATTTCAACCTTCTACAGGCTGGGGTCTAGAAGAAAAACGACATCAAAAATTTGGAAAAAAAGGACTTTAGATAACGGTAAATTTAAGCGGCCATTTTGTGTTTCTAAAGTTTAACTATAGTATACAGCGCTAGAGGAAGCAAGCCACTGCCTTTCTGCGTTTGCAAAATTTCAAAAATGCTTATGGTTTCATTACAACAAATAGGTAAAAAAGATCATTTTTAGGGTTTTGGGGGGGTATAACTCCTAGAGGGGGGGAGATAGGTAAAAATTGTGTTCTACGGAAATAAGTTTCTAGTAAAGATCTATGTACGTGTTAAATTTCAGCTTTCTATCTTCAAGGGTGTATTTTGTAAACAAAAAGAAGTGTCCACGGACGGACGGACGGACAGAGTGAAAATAATAAGCACTTTTTTTCAAAAAATTTTTGGAAAAGTGCTAAAAAGTTAAAAATTAGATTAAAGAAAATGATTTTAAGAACAATTGAAGAGGTAAAATGGACAAAGTGGTTAACTTACATTTGCATTGTGACACATTTTTCCTTAGCAAATTGTAAAATAATTAATTTTTTTGTTACTTATCTTCTACGTGCCCTGTCAAATGTGTCTTCTATTAGATTTCTAGCTATAAGAGTAATCACTGTTGAAAATGTATGAAATTTAATGATATTCTATCAAAAAAAACTCGATTTTCGTCAAAATGTTAGTTAACCCCTTTGTCCACTCACCTCTTCAATTACAAGTTGATGTTCCTAATAATTTATAGTACGCGACTTTTAAATTTTTTCAATTGTACACTTTTCAAAATTAATTTATAAATTTAATTGTATCACGAAAATTAAACTTTATGATAAGATATTGCATAAGATTTTTATTTTAAGGATGAGAGGGGAAATTTAATGAAGCTAATGAATTAGTAACTGTCTGAAACTTATATTTATACTAAGAAAATTTTATGTAATATATTCGAAATTATACCTTACAAATATATACCAATAATCATTTTTTTTGAGTATAACAAAAAGAATCGTTTTTTTTTTATCAATTCGTTGTTAAAATATGTAATCATTAGTTCACGATCATCATCATCATCATCTTGTGGCACTACAACTCGGGGTGAGCCTTGGCCTTCTTCACTATATTCTTCCACATTTCTCTATCCTGGGCAGTCGATTTCCAGCTCATAATATTAAGTTTTCTACAATCACTTTCGATGTTGTCGGCCCACCTAGTTCTAGGTCTACCTCGTGCTCTGCTGATATAGGGCACAGTGTTGAAGATTTTATATTGTGCCCTGTTTTCACTCATCCTTACCACGTGGCCAGCCCATCGAAGCCTCTGAGCCTTTGAAAAACGTACAATATCCTCACCTCTTAAATAATCGTTTATCTCAGCATTAGATCTAATAGCATATTCACCATTTTCAAGCCTTTTAGCACCAAGAATTTTGCGAATAACTTTTCTTTCAAAGACTCTTAAAGAATTTTCTTCCGCTGCCGTTAAGGTCCAAGCTTCACAACCATATGTAACTACTGGTCTCACAATTGTTTTGTATATAACTAGTTTCGTTTGTCTTGAAAGTAGTCTGGACTGAAATAGTTTATTGTTTGCGAAAAGGCAACGGTTACCAGCTTGAATTCGCTCTTGAATGCAGTGTTGCATGCTGTTATCATTTTTAATTATTGCACCGAGGTAAGAAAAACTGTCGACACCTTCAAAATTATAATTTCCTATAGTGATGTTCTGCGGGGCTCTCCTTCCTTCATCTCGAGATAGTTTCAGATATTTTGTTTTTTGCTCGTTTACACATAGGCTTACTTTCTTTGCTTCCTTTTCTAAATGAACGAACGCTTGCACCAACTCTCCAAAATTCCTTGCAACTATTGCGATATCGTCTGCATACGCAATTATTTGATATCTTTTGGTGAAAATATTTCCTCCTAGGTCTAGGTTTCCAATCGCTTTTTCCAAAAACAAATTAAATAACAGCGAAGATAGAGCGTCACCTTGCCTAACACCTGTTTTGATATCGAATATTTTTGAAGTTTGATTTTGGATTTGCACTTTTGCTTTTGCATTGTTCAACGTCATCATAGCTAAACGAGCCAATTTAGTTGGTATTCCTTGTTGTATCAATGAATAATGCAGTTGTTTCCTATCGACACTGTCAAATGCTTGTTTGAAGTCTATGAATAGTATGTGCAAGTCTGTGTTATATTCATACGATTTTTCCATGCATTGTTTTACTAAGAACACTTGATCTGTTGTTGACCTCTGCCTCCTAAAGCCGCACTGATATTCACCTACTATCTCTTCAGCTAATGGTTTAAGCCTCTCATATAAAATATTGGCTAAAATCTTATAGGCACAATTTAGGAGCATGATTCCTCTGTAGTTGTTACATATCATCTTGTCTCCTTTTTTATGTATGGGACATATTATTCCGAGGTTCCACTTGTCAGGCATTTCTTCTTGCTCCCAGACTCTACATATTAGCTTATGTATTGTTTGGTGCAAATATTCTCCTCCTGCTTTAAACAGCTCAGCTGTTAATTTGTCATCTCCAGGGGCTTTTGAGTTCTTCATTTTATTAATAGCTTCTGTAACTTCTTCATAGGAGGGCAACGGTGTGAATAGCTCAGCAGTTTGAAAGCCAGTGTTCAAAATAGGCTGCTCAGAGGTTTGTTTATTTAGCAGCTCATTGAAGTATTTTCTCCATATTTCGATAACATCTGCGTCGTTATCTAAAATCTCTCCAGTTTTGCTTTTACAAATGTTCAATCTTGGTTGGAAAGCACTATTCTGAAATTTTATATTTTTGTAAAACTTTCTTATTTCATTTTGGTTATATTGTTGTTGTATTTGCCTTATTTTATTTTCTAACATTTTCTTCTTCTTCTTTCGACAAAGTTTCGTGGCAGCTATTCTTTTAGATTTGTATGATTCCTGACTTGATCTCGTATTTCTTTGCATCATTTTCATTCTTGCTTCATTTTTTAATCGTATTGCGCATTCGCATTCTTCATCAAACCATTCCGCGTTTCTTGCTATAGGTTTGTTACCTAATACGTGTCGCGTTGTGTCTGTCATAATATTTTCTATTCTCTTCCAGTCTTGATTTACGGTTGCCTGATCATCGTTTTGCACTTCATTTATTTTTTGTTGTAACACTCTTTGAAAG